CAATCTAGGGGAACAGGCATTCCAGAAATTGCGCGAAGCAGTTTATACCCACAACGTTGCCGTTCTAAAAGACCAAGGGGAGCTCCTACCGGCCAAGCAATTCGAGTTTGTCCATCGATTTGATCCAGACTCCAACCCGAAACACGGCTTTGGGACTGGTAAGGGGGTGAAGGAGTTGGGCGATCTTGGTGTAGGTCAAAGCCTTTGCACTGAATTTATATCCGTTCAAACATTGATGAATGTAACCTGGTCCTACAGAAAAAGCCGTTCTATCACATCCCTGGTGCAGGTGGAGTAACTCTTGTTGGCCATGGTTATCAAGGGGAGAGCCACTATGGACTTAGAAATGTCACATTGGACGCAATTAGTCATGTCGACTTCCATAAAGAGCCGCTGTCTGCTGAGGAGCTAGCGAGTGGTTATGCGCGATTCACTGCGTGGCACTTCGACGGCATAATCCATGCCTCACATCCTTCTCGCGTCACTACCTTCAGATGCGTCAGAGCCCCTCAGGGACCCGATGTCACGGTCCGATTCGATGACCAAACTGGACGATGCATGAAATGTTTGCCGGGAAGCACTGCTTTTATCAGTAGCGCCCAGACGTATAATATGTTGACTGATCAAGAGAAGAAAATCGTTGACAACAGTTACTGGGAACCTGCACCACATCCATTTGCGTGGTATGGCACACGAAGAATGCGATCAACAGGCCTGGGCTTGGCTCCCGGTGGAAAATCCTTGCCACTCGATGAACTACCAGACTGGTCTCCTGAAGATATCCATAAGTACCCTTTGGTGTGGCTAAATCCTGTAACAGGACAGAAGGGATTTCAGGTGATGCCCGAAACAGTGCGCAAGCTCTATCTGAAGGACTCACCAGATAGTGTTGAGAGAATTGTGGATGATATTGAAGACATTCGCCTCTGGCTCAACAACATCTTTGACCGAATTTTGTCACCGGAGTACATTTTGATTCCTCCCCTCGATGAAGGTGATATGGTTGTCTGGAACAATTGGGTAAGACAAGCACAACTTGGCACTATGAGTCCTCAGATTATTGACCTTATATAAGGGAGTCTTGCACAGTGCTATTGAGTATCCGCTCAGTTATGGACCTCGGGCAAGTAAGTAGACAGAAGCAATGTAAGAGGCATGCAGAACTCTAACAAGTTTTAGTGCATCAATGCCATATTGCTTCTTCCACCGCCCCCCTTGGGCCTTAGAATGGAATATCCGTTATCAACTCATAGTTATAATTTCTAAGCATTTATAATATGATATAGGTCTTATGTTGCATACTGCCGACGTAAACTTTTATGGAATCTTCATGACCTAACTTAAATGAATAAAACAAGTGAAGATGTATTGGAATCGCTAGGCCTGTTTAATTCATTCTTTCATACAGCTCAATTCCTGTTCCGTCCACTCCCACAGCTTTTCTGCCAATTGGTCATCCTTTCCATCATCAGTCGCCAGACCTCCCTGGCCAATAGGTTCATAATACTCTCCGCTCGTCACGTCCATAGAGACTGATGCCCACAACTGATTTTTCACACCTTGTTCCACCGGCGTCAACAACATTCCTTCAACTTGGGCACGTAGAGATGAAGATATGCCCTCGGCTTTTGCCGCTAGCTCAGTCTGCACCAGGCCGGGATCGATGGCAGACACCGTCAATTGGGGATATCGTTTCGCAAACTGTCTTGCCCAGAGAATATTGGCTAATTTGCTTTGATAGTAACACTGTAGAGGGCCTATGGCTTCTCCTCCAGTCTTCAAAGTGTCAAAATTAAAGTCACCCTTGTTGAGAAAAACATGTCCATGGGATGCGAGACAGATAACTCGCACATCTGCGCCCGGGAGCTGGGCGGTCGTTTCCAGAACGGGAAGTAACAATTTGGTAAGAAGAGCATGCCCCATGTGGTTGATGCCGAATTGGATCTCATACCCATCTTGGGTGAGCCCAAGCGGAACGAACACTACAAGAATTGGAGTCAGTAATTGCCTCTGAAAGACTGTGAGTGAGCAAGAACTCTCTTAGTCAATATGCCTCAGAGTTGAATGTCTAAACGTAGCTTCTATATGCATCTCCAGTGCTTGAAACAAAGCTATCATAGGTAAAGATTAAATCTAGGACTTGCTTACTGGTGCCTGCGTTGAGCATAAGGATATCTAGGCGGTCGCACTCTGCGATTATTGTAGATGCAGCTTTGCGAATCGACGCGAAAGATGCAAGATCTAACTCTAGAAGTTTGATTGACACGTCTGGAATTTGCTGTCTGATCTCGCCATATACGACTTTGGCTTTGATAAGGTTTCGAGCCCCAAGCCAAATCTCGCCAGGGCTGTGATGAGCTAGTTCAAGAACAGCCTGTTTCCCAAGACCAGCTGTTCCTCCTGTAATAAGCATAATCTTGCCATGTAACGGTGGAATGTCATTCTTTGGATCGAAATCCAAACAATGCTTCGTAGCGATCATTATATTTGCATCGGTATCAATGAATGAGGCAGTTAGATGGATTTTCAGAAGAGGATGCAAGCCTGGACGTCTAAAACCGGGTCACTCGAATCGTTCCTTGTGGTGGAAGTCTCAATCTTAAATACAGCTCTTGTCAGTCAACCAGGCAGTGTGCATATGTAACTCCACACAGGCGACCAGGTTGGAGTCCATGGCCTTGAGACTTGATGCAAGGTGTCTGGAGCAGTGACTTGTCCATGCCGTTGGCTTCTCATCTAATATCTTACTACATGCCATTTTGAGATAGAGTATTCCTACAACTAGCCCATGGGATTGTTCACTGTTGGGTTTGAGTTATCGAGGTAGCCCATCGATGTGGTCCATTACCCGTATCTCGGACTCAGAAGCTCTCCTGCCTAAACCCTTTTCAGCAGTTTGTACGGGAAAACCCCGGGGAAACATCAGGCGACAGATGATCTGACCAATCACTCACATATTCGGTTAATGGCCAAGCATTAAAGATGTTTTAGGAACGAGCTTGATGGCCTGAGATTTCAGTTCCCAAGTTGTACTGTAATTTCTGCTCCCCGACTTCAATGCTGACAAACTCCCGATCGTTCTATGATTCAGAGAAGAAGATGATGTTCATCATCAGTACTTCGCACGATAAGCCCGATGCGCGGACCCGCCGACTAATTCGCAGTCATGCTATGCGTGGCAGGAACACGCGTGCAGACAGGCGGGCAAGGAAATGTGTACGTGGAAACGAAGGCATTGTAGCAACCACCAATTTACCTAGTTTCCCACATCAGCACCGCTTTCCGCTGCCCGATACTCAAGCGGCGACGGAGGCGCAAGATGAAAATCGAAAGAAGCCAAATGCTGAGCTTCCTAATAACATACTATATTACCGGAAAATCGCATCGGAACTTTCACTTGACAGATATAACTTTGAGATTAAACCATACATGCTCAGGCTCATGCATCGAGGTAAGACCGATTTCATCCTCTCTATCCTACCTCTTATCATGGAACTCAGTCGTCGTCCTAAATTATTTTGAAAGCATTCACAACCCCCAAACCTTGCTCTTATAGCGTCAACATGAAGCTTGTCCATGAATCAGAAGCTCAACTTTTTCAACTATCCGATATACACACCCACAAAGCAACTATTCACTCCATTCTATACACCGCCCAGGCTTTTGAAGAGCTTTTACTTCGACGGCCATTTAGCACTATTACACGGTTCCACTTGGGGAAGACGCTCTATCACCTACAACAAAGCTTAAACGACGTGCACGCCGCAACTACATTGGCCACAATAGCCGTGATCACAAATCTGACTTCAGCTGCATCTGCTTGTGGGGACATGGAGACTACCATAAAGCACATGGATGGCCTCTGCAGGATCCTCGAGCTTAGAGGAGGGATAGCGCCAGTTGATACAGCAAGCATGATTGAGCTCAAATGTCAAAGGTATTTGATTTACCGAATATTTCGTAGTGCACATTTGGTGATACTCGTCTAACACATAGTAATAGAATAGATCTCTGCCTAGCCATGGCTACTGGGAAAACACCTAGACTTCTTCCCGGGAGTCCCTCTTGGGAACCACAAATTGCTCCAGTGGAATTCATCATTAGATATCAGGATTCAGGGTTCATACCTTCGGCATTAGATACAAATATGGCAGCTGTCTGGTTAGACTTGAAACACTACGATAACTTGGCCAACACCACAATGCCGGGGCCACAAACCCCACCCGCTCTCTTCTTGCAGGTCAGCACATCTGTGCCGAATCGATTATTACATCTCAAATACGACGAGGACTGTTTTCCGGAGCTCTTAAGACTTTGCATGCTTGCTTATGTCAAGAGCATTCTTTTTAGAGTTCCTGGCATTGGCATGCATTACTTATCGGAAAAATTAGAATTTGCATTGCGAGCACAACGCACACCACCACCAAGGTCAGAACACGCGAGTCTAGTACTATGGGCTCTATTCATCTATGGAGTATGTATCGTCGAAAATTTTGACCAAGTGTGGCATCGCGAAGCGCTTTTACGAACAGCGCCGATGCTTGGTATCCTAACTTGGGATCAGTGCAAATCAACTCTGAGCAGGCTGTTGTGGATCGATAATATCCACGATGGGTCAGCGGAATCCGGATTCAAGCAAGTGTTCGGTCAAGGAATGCCAATCCATCAATAGAGACGGTGGCTCGTTTCTCATTAATCCAAGGATCGTTGTGGTTATGTTGTAAGGTCATTTTAGGTTGGCAAAACTGGGATATCAATGGTGCATAAGCGCTGCCCAGGTGGGGGCGACAACACGAAACGCAATATGATTGGACGAAAAGCGCTTTAGCACAACTTTGGCATCAGTGTCCATCATGCCAACTCTGTCTTTGTCGACTTCTCTCGGGACTCAAAGTTGTGAAAAAAAAAAAAAAAAAAAACCCTCAACCCTCCAGGCCAAGTGCGTCCATCTCTATTGAATCTGCATCTGAATATTCTATACCATCCCTGCTATTACAATCATGGACGACAAGCGAGAGCGACACCGCCCGAGATACGAACTTGAGACTTATCTTTTCAGCATTCACGATGACAACACCAGGTTCTCGGTTCGTAGAAACGGCAAGCTTTTCCATATTCGCGTATCTCCTTCAGATTTTATCAACTCGCCTATCACGACAAAGAAATATATGTCGTACCTAGAGCTTCTTCGATCAGGCGAGGAGGTAATCGGGGATGTCTATGACACTGACGTCTTCGAGTGGGTTACACAGCCATTCGAACCGCTGTTCGTCGAACTGGCACCGAGTCCTGTCCTGCCAGATAACCATACAAACATCACAGTCACTCTCAAAGAGTACCTGTTCCCCGACTTGTTTATCCTTGCGCTAGACGTCGTGGATGAAAGGCTGTACCCGCGTCGTATTGAGGCGAAGAAATCGCCCTACTCTGCATCACATGTCTGGCTCGACGACGACGACCTTGATGATCTAGAGACGTGGACAGTCCTATACGATCCGGCTGGGATAGTGCTAAGCTTTAGCAATCCTGAAGATGCGCTCTTTAAACCGCCCAAAAAGGTTCTTATCGATAACAAACAGAGAGCATGCTTCTTTAAGCCATGTTTCTCTACCATTCAGACAAAGAACGAGCTCCAGGCGTATAAGAAGATTGCTTTAGCTAATCTAGACCCGCATCTAAACCTATGTCGCCTCTATGGGGTTGTCATAGACGATGGCGGTTCCATCCTGGGTCTGTTACTCAGTTATATCGACCATGACGGCCATACCCTGTCGACGAAGGTGGACCCTGATTATCCTTCAGCCTCTACGAGGAAGAGATGGATGGACCAGATTGAAGCAACAGTTGCAGAGCTGCATAGGGCAGGGATCGTTTGGGGGGACGTCAAAGCAGAGAATGTGCTTGTCGACCGGGAGGACAACGTGTGGGTGACTGATTTTGGAGGCGGCTACACCGAGGGCTGGGTCGGACAAGAGATTGCAGGGACTGTGGAGGGGGATCTGGTAGGCATGGCGAAGCTCAGAGAGTTTGTCTTTCAAGATGAAGCGCAGGAACGCTGGTGGGCCAGATAGAACAGACGTGGAGGATTAATTGGGCTATACCTTAGCTGTGCTCCTTTTCAGGGATGACTGTGGAGATATTCTACATTCTTCTGTTTCTTGTGTCTGTTGGTTATCAAGAGAGGGAGCCTCTCCCATTTTCTTAGAACAGGTATTCCACCCTACACCAATTGACCAAGCGATTTGACTGATTAGTTATCTACCATACTTCGTTTCTACACAGTATTGAAAGGGAGGCAGGATGCCTTGCTGCAACGAATTGGGAACCCCCTCCCCTGCTCAATGGAGCCTACCTAACACCGCTGCTCTTCGTCTATATAAGGATGTACGTCTCTTATATCTTGTTCCTTAGAACTTGGATCATTTATTTGATCAGTTTAGGCTCAGATAGCACTACGCCTTTAACACAGTAGAATACAGAGCAAGACATAATACTATTAATCTTTCTATCACAGTCACTAATTGAATGATAAGAATCAAAAGGTTTATGATAGACCATTTACTATCATTATGTGTTTATCGTAGTTATTGGACGTAAGTAAAGTGACTATAAGTCACACGCTCTTATATCCTATGGTTAGAGATCCAACCATCGAGCGCATAAGTGCGAATGGTAGGTCTTCGCTAATAATACTACAACTCGGCGAGGAAAGCCGCAACAGCATCGACAGTTTCCTCCGCTCCCTTCGTCCAACCAAGGAAAGGCCCTGATAGAAACACATCATGTCACATTATTTCGCCCGAACCAGTAGACAAAATACATGTCACACAGTACGCCACCCCGTATCTTACTACACGGCACCAAAACGGCCCAAGCAAATTTCTACGATCCCTCACAGCAGCTCTTATTAACAATCTGGTCGCCAGATGACAGGCCTCTTCAGTCACCAGAGCGTTCATTATGGACAGGCCCTTCACAAGAGATGCCGCTAGCCAGTGATTGGGTACATAACGGGGACGGCTGGAGACGCATTGATTGCCATGGATGCCAAAGGGGCAGATCCTCCATACTACCAGCCAGCTTCCTGCAGGTTAGTAGAACATTTTACAAAACCAAGATACCAACATCCAGTCATAATAAATGGGTGTAAAGCTGGGGCTATCTTATCTCCCCTGGAGCCTAGAGCACCGTTTTGACAACGGCGCTTCTTACGTAGACTGCCGTTCTGCTAGCTCCGTTACTCAGCGAATGCTCTCTCGGGTCACATGACCCTACACCCAAAAAGAGCCAAATTTCACCCTTTTGGCTCTAACCCTTTAAATAGACTAGCTATCAAAATTCTGATTGAAGATTTGGTTTCGCTATTTAATTTAGAGTATAGTAGTATATCTAAAGTATCGATGTAGCTATACATACCTAGCTTAGGGGTAATAAATCAATAAACCCCTCTCTGTCCTTCACCTTGCATATGTGACTTGGCTTCACCATCCTTACATAGTGTCAAGTGGGAAAAATTGAAAAGAGCCAGTCGTATCTATAGGCCTCCTTACCCCACTTCTAGTATTCCCAGTGAGTCAAACAATCTCTTTCTAACCACGTACCATTACCTTACAGCCGACTTCGCTCACTTTTCAGAGAGAGAGCCTCTCGTCAGCCGTGCTCTTCTGCACAGCATGGCTACTCAAGCCAGCGCTACATCCTCTCGTGCAGGCAGTCAGCTGAAGACGCCAAAAGGCACTCGCGACTGGGTTGGTCAAGATCTGCTGCTACGTGATCGAATCTTGTGGGTATCCTGGGCTGTTCGTTTGATATTTTGCTAATGCGTTGCTGCCATTAATAGTCAGACAATCAGTGACATTCTAAAACGCCATGGCGGTATCCCTCTAGACACACCCGTCTTCGAATTGCGAGACATTCTCTCCGAGAAGTATGGAGAAGACTCGCGGCTGATTTATAACCTGGAGAACCAAGGCGGGGAGCTTTGCTCCCTCAGATATGATCTCACTGTTCCTTTCGCCCGCTGGCTAGCCATGCATAGCAATGTGAAACAGGTCAGACGATACCATATCGCCAAAGTGTACCGGCGAGATCAACCGGCAATAGCTCGTGGCAGGCTCCGCGAATTTTACCAGTGTGACTTTGATATTGCTGGCGTTTACGACCCTATGATCCCTGATGCCGAAATTCTCCGTATTATCGTCGAGGTTTTCCAAGCCTTCAAGCTCGATGTCACTATAAAGCTCAACCACAGGAAGATTCTGGATGGTCTATTCGAGACTTGCGGTGTTCCCCAGGAGAAACTACGCCTCATCAGTTCCTCGGTCGACAAGCTGGACAAGTTACCCTGGGCTGAAGTCAAGAAGGAAATGGTCGAGGAGAAAGGTCTTTCAGAAATCGTCGCAGACGAGGTCGGCAAGTATGTCTTGCAGAAAGGTGCCATGCGTGAAATGATCAATGTTCTCAAGGCAGATGAGAAACTTCACGCGAATGCAACTGTCAAAGGTGGAATCGAAGACATGGAACTATTGGTGTCCTACTTAGAAGCTCTGGATGTCGACAGAATAGTGTCTTTGGATCTATCCCTCGCACGAGGGCTCGATTATTACTCTGGACTTATCTATGAGGTCATCCCTCAGATAAAAGATACTCAGGTTGGCAGTATTGCTGCTGGCGGAAGGTACGATGGGTTGGTAGGCATGTACGGCAAGCAGCCTATTCCATGCGTCGGCATATCCTTTGGAGTTGACCGCATTTTCACTTTGCTGGACACGCAGCGCAAGAAAGGCACGTCCGACATTTCTCACGAGACAGAAGTCTACATCATGGCGTTTGGAGGTAAAGAATTCGACGGGCTCTTACTTGAGCGTATGAGGGTCGCACGTCAACTTTGGGATGTCGGTATCCAGACTGAGTTTGCTGCCAAGGTCAAACCTAAGCCGCAACAACAGTTCAATGCTTCTGACTCCGCCTTGCTGGCTGTTATTCTTGGTCAAGAGGAGCTAGAAGCTGGCCAAGTAAGACTCAAAGTTGTTTCGGCGGCTGGGGAAAAGGGTACCGCTCAAAAAGATAGGGGAGAACTTATTCCTAAAGAGAGCTTGGTTGAAGAAGTACAAAAGAGATTATTGGTGCTCAGGAATTAGATCTAGTTAGTTGGAATGCCGAGATGCCCGGGATGAAAAAGAATTGGTGCTTGGTGCTTTAGATTGTACTCGTGGCTGATAACGTGGGTGAGCCAATTTTACCCAAAAGAATTCGGCTGAGTTAGGTTTCAATATTGATGTTGGGGACCTCATCCTTTTGCATTAGGCAGCGGGAGTAGATATAGTCAATTGTTGAGTTGATACACTATGATATTACCCACGCCCAGCATATCGACTCTAATGTAAACTATGAAGAGTCCCCAAAAGGATTTCGACTTTCCTTTTGTCATGATCTAGGAATGCTTTCACTAATGAGGACATGGGAATTAGCTTTTGTATATTTGCCTTGGTCTTGGTCTTGGCAGATAGGGGTTTAAATTTACGAGAGTAGGATGTTTGGATTGACTGCAAATCACAAACAAATAGACCACCTCTGTCACTGCTGTATATGAGATGATAGGCGAGTGAAATTCCAAGGTCTTATTAACCAATATATTATAGATACTAGGAAATATATAAACCACTTTTGGATGCTCTCGCTGCCACCTAAACTCCCAGAAGTAACCCTGACCCTAAGTTAACCTTAGTCTTGACTGCCAGTCCTAATGCCCAACCATAAGTAAGGTTGGGATAAGAGAGGTAACAGTAGTATTAGTGAGGGTGTAAATAGATACTACGTGATGGCCTCGAGCTTTCCCAGATAGTTTATTACTCTTCACTGTTTCAAGAATACTAATCCGGAAATGCGAGCAAGGTAACCCGACATCGTCCATTCTCTTCTGTTGTCGTTAGCGTGCGATAACTTCATAGATACATTACACGGTGGTGGGCAGCTTGATGGAGACGGGACGGGTCGCGCTCGCATTCGGGCTCGAGGCTAATGCTGTCCAATGATTGAACACAGCCAAATACAAGCTTTTGGTCAAGCTTTCAGGGATATGCAAAAGCGCCATGCAATGTTGCATTAGCTGGATTGGTGGAGTACGCGTCGTTGTTCTCGAGCAGAGTAATTCCCCCCTCCCTTCCGAGCCCTTCACCAATACCGTGACGAGTCTGTTATCTTCCCCCGCTAATGCTTTCGTTTAAGGTATCCTTACTTGCATCATGCTGTATGTGCCTGAGACCCACGGGTCGGCAACCAATCGCTGGGCACGATGCCTAGCACTAGACAACGAGGGTCCCATCGATAGCAGCGACTTTCGGAAACGAAAGCGAAAGTTGGTTCTTATATATTGTGAACACGAGTATATAGCGTGATGTTGCGTACGAATTCCGCGCGATGATTTCGTACATTTTTCGGGTCACTATCTACGTATATTCAAGAGTAGAAACATCTTTAAATTCCGAACACCATGGCTTCGTATGACGCTGGGTATGACCCAAAATACGGGTGAGAGACACCGTTGCAATGACAATCAAACGATGGATGCTCATTAGACAGTAGATACAATAGGCATGCTTTCGAGCACAAAACCGTACCACAAGCTATCGTGGGAAAAGTTGTTCGGCTCATCACGACTCCAATCGGCCTTGTAAGCGAAGCCATTCAAAACTCGAAGGACAAGAAGCGTGTGCCACAGAGTGACAAGGCCCAAGGGAAGGATGCCAGCGGGGATCATCCGCCGACATATGTTGAATTATTGCCCGACCAGGCAGATGAACTTGTAGCCAGTGGCCAAACAGTGCCAGCAGAAGGGGAGAAGCCAACCCACGAATTAGTGCCTGAAAATGAAGATAAGCTTCGACCCGACGATGAGGCGGATTTGGACGAACAAGACTGGGCTCTAGATGAGGTTGTTGCGTCTGACGACGAGAATGACAACCTCACTGAGGGCGCGATCCTCGCACCACCGTTATATACTATGTCCGAGGGAAAGCTCACATCGAGGAGATTACCATTCCCGGTGATCCTCCCTCAACAACGGCCAGGCACCAAAACCCGAGGTTTCGTTAGGGCATACGCGCCTGTCCTCTCAGATAGCGGGATTAACCAAGCCTCATTCCTCAAGTTTCTGAAAGACCTCCACACAAACGCCCAGGCGTCACCGATCTTCGATTGCGTCATGGTAGCAACAGCTCTGGTCGGTGCATATCCGGATTTGATTGTCGGATTAGCCACCCAGATCGTGCAAATCGCCGTCATGGCTGGTCAGGAAGCGCAAGAGAGATGGCGAACAAACAAATTTCTGGACCAGGCGAACAAGGAGTTGTTTGCGCCTCGGGGACTCTTCGCCATGATTGTGACCTTCAAGAAAGGCACAAGTGATACGCCGCCTGTTTCTACCATAACTGTTGACATGAGCGCGACTGCTGTGGCTAAATACGGCAAAGATCTTGTACACAATGATGAGTCCGAAGAGTCACAAGGAAGGAACAACCGTACCGAGGAGTGGAAGGAGAAATTGGAGAGGTTGCGTCTTTCCAGTGGGCAGACTACGGAAGATGAGATGCCGATCATGTGTGCACCACTGATCTTCCCGCAACTAGAGACGGCTGCTGCCATCATTTCTATCAATGATGGGAAGAACACGGAGAGTCAAAATAGTATGATTTCGAATATCAAGAGCAAAGCAAAAGGAGCAAATGCCTTTGTAGCCGACTACTTCGACCGTCGAGCTCAAGCGACCTACGTAAGTACCCTGGCTTAGATGCTTTGTACCGTGTCTCTGACTCCATGAAGGCCTTTTCAAACCCCGACACAAGTCTTTTCCATATGGCTCCCGCTCCAGAGTTCAAATCCAAAATGGCGGATCCCAACGACCACAGAAATAAGCATCTATTTACACTGATTACTGGTGGAAGATGGAAGGCAGAACCGTAAGCTCACTCTTTTGTCAATACTTCCGGCGACTTTGTTAACAAATGCCTGTCCAAGACTCGGTGGTCGTCGAAGATGGGAGGCAGCTCAGCGCAAGGCAGCAGAGAAAAGAGCACAAGGGCTGAAAGACACCCCGAGGAAGAGACTCATGCAGGAAGATGTGCTATACCTCATGATAGCTAATATGCCCACGGAAGCGGAGTTGAAAAAAGCTCGAGACAAAATGGAGGAAGAAAAGAGATCGAAAGTGAAGAGCTCTTAGTGCTCTTAGCCACGCGAAGTGTTTCCACCCCAGGAAGGAGAGATGGTGAGACTTACGGCAAGGACTATCCTATGTAGCTGCGGGTCACACCAATTCGAGCGATAGAACTTAAGCGGTAATGAAATGACTTTGATAAGGAGATTGAAACCCGCGCATGTGCAGTTTTGACGAAAGAAAGCAAATCAGGTCACTCTCGATCACCCTGATCGTCCTCAAAAAACTTGATCACGGAGCATGCACGTAGGGAACTTCTAGTAGGGAGTATCGTTGTTGTATAGCACTGAGATATCAAAGCTTGACGGCGATACCTCAAGTCTTTACATCTAGCCGACTTCCCGTGTTTTTGATCGCGACCTATATACAATGCGAAGATCCCCATCACACTCACAATATAATTCTCACTCTCTCCCATCCCTTGCCTGGCCCAACAGCCCCCTTAGGCGCTCGAGGTGCTAGCTGGTGGTGCGCCGGTTCCGCTGGGGAATCCTCCAGACGGGAAACCGCTCGGGGGCGAACCGCCAGGGCCACCGCCGCCAGCATTGGGGTTGGCCTGGCCACCCGACTCGTAGAACGTCGCAGCGGCGCTGACCTCCTTGCTCAGGGTCGTGTTGACGCCAAATGCCAACCACGCCAGAAGACCGTCCTCGACCGTGTCGCCCAGCAGGACGTACGTCATGAAGGGGTCGCTGGTCTCGGCCTCCTCGGCCAGGATGCTGTCCTCGGCGTTGGTGGTGAGCGTCTGGGTGTTGGCGGCGTAGACGGAGGTGGCCTCGACTTCGGTGATCAGGTCCTGGTCGAAGAACATCTGGCCGACGTGCGAGGCGGTCGTGTCGATGAGCGTGTTGTTCGCGAAGGGCGTCGCGTTCAGGTGCACCATGACGTGGATGTGCGTGGTGCGGCCCGTGTAGTGGCCCGGGAACAGTGTGTCGAACTGCGCAACACCGTCGGCGTCGGTGGGCTGCACGCCGCGGAGGAAGGTTGCGTTCAGGTTGGACGTGTCGCTGGCAGAGTTGCCGTTGCCGCTGGCGGAGACGCCGGAGTAGACTCCGGTGGAGTTGCAGTCTGTGAGGTGTCAGTGGTCTGCAGAAGATTCAGGGGCAATGGCCAACTTACGCCACACCTCGAGGTAAGCACCAGAGACAGGCTCGCAGGTCTCGACATCCAAGACCTGGACATCGATGGCCATTGCAACGCCGGCCTGAGACTCAACCACATCCTGACGGACATACTCTCCAGCGACGTCTACATGATATTGTCAGGGGCCGTACACGTTTTGATATTGACATCTGACTTACAGTATGGTCCCTCTGTGACCTCGGGGCTCAGGACACAAGATCCGTTGCTGGCAAAAATGGTCGTCTCAGGAGTATCCGTGGTGTAGTCCTCGGAGGAGTGATGAGTTGTGTTGAGGAGTGTCGTGATATCCCGACCCTCCAGTCCACGCTTCTTCATCAGGGAGGTAGCCATCTCCGCACGACGCTTGACGTTACGGGCCTCAATGCCTCGAGCCTTGAGCTTCGCCGCGCAGTGACTGAGATCTCGGCGAGAGTGCTGTAGCATCGAGCGGCGTTCAGCCATCTCCGCGTGGTGGTCGTGTCCGGGATGGGCAACAGCCACTGCGGCCAGCAGGCTGGCGGACAGGAGGCCAGAGAAATGCATTTTCGTTTTTTGGAGATTGGAACAATATTTACAGATCAAAGTAACGAAAGATCACTGAGAGAAGGAAGAGAATGAAAATCCGATGAGAGAAGCTGCGATGCAAGGAGAGATCGCGGTGGACAGCAAACGAAACCTCCATTCTCATTCTTCACCTCGACGCCCTTCTTATACTTGTATATCCAGACTCGCTGAAACATAGCGTCAACGTCGTCGTCAACCGTCGTCTGTCGAAATCTCCTGCTTATTTCATCCATGCCAAGGGGACATATAGAACGCCCCGCGGAGGACTTTCCCTTTGGGTAAAGTCCCATCGAGCCCAAAGGCCCTCTGCAAGGTCGATCAGCATTTCGAGTGCCGACCCCACCGTGGATTCAAGCAGGGGGCGAGCCAGACGTTAAGCCACCAGCCAGCAGTACGCAGCAAGGCGTTTCTTGCGTAGAGCAATTGAAACATAGTAATACGTGGCGGCTCATTGGTCCACCCCTTGACAGGGAGCATTGATGCCATCCAAGGCCCCCCGGCCTCTGCACTTGAAGTGTCGTCAATGGTAGGTGGCTGATGGCCAAAAGTTAACGCATGCCCTGGAAGGACAAAAGGCCAGCGTCACAGCGGCGGCCGATTTCTCGCGTCGGGTTGTGGGGGACCAGCGTCGTCAGCGCCTGTAGACGGTTTCACTCGCTGGCACCCTGGATGAACCGGCCGGGATGGCTCAGGGCCAATCACAGGAGGTTGATTAGATTGTCGATGCCGGGCCTGACTGGGGCTCTGCGGAAGGCGGTGGATCAACAGGGGAAGGTCAGGGCGACAACGGGCGGCTTCTGTGGGGTACTTAAAAAGGCCGACACGCGTTGCACTCTATATCTACTTCACTCGGGCTCTTGGCAGGTGTCATTTGTGGCGGCACTTGCAGCTGAAGAGCCCTGCGACCTTCCTGGCTCGTAGGAATGCGCGATGGGCGGGCCATTCCTCGCCAAGGGGTAAAGATCAACGGCGGTCCAGGTGAAAGGGTGAAAGAGCTGACGACGATACTGAACTTGCGGAGCCTTCATGCTACAGCCGCGGATCTCAGGGGCGCTTGAATAAGGGAGGCTGGAGGCAAGAATCGACAATGTCAACTAGGAATAGGTTTGCGCGTGTGCCGGGACCCAATGGGTATTCACATTTAATTTCCCATCAGCTATGTTCCTGAATGCCATAACGCCAACATCAACCGGGGTATCATAACCTGGAATCTCAACAGCCTCCCAAGCGCATGCTTCTGAGTTGCGTTTTGATCGCGTAAAAGGCACGTTACATAAGAGGAGATGGCTAGTTTCCAGAGCCGGCAAGACGACCAGAGGATGGCAGTCTCGTCAGACAGGAGTCCTGGGGTTCGAGCATCGAAAGGCCGGTGAGCGGAGCAGTATAGTAGAGATAGATCGGGTAGGCTCTGCTGGGCAGGAAATAGTGGAATATGAGCAGAGATAGAGGTCAGTAAGTGAGTGAGGAGGATGGCCAATCACATGTTGGGTATTATGCGTGCAAACAACCGTCGTCTGGTCGATGCATGCAAGGCTGTTTCAGTCAATAGAGCTCTCTAATTCTCCGGCCGCGACTGGAGCACCCTAAAAAGGGGGAAAAGACGCATTAGCATATCAAGTGGGACGGCGGACTGGAACGGATCGTACAATCACACTACACAAGTGCCCGTTAGCTGTCATCAGGTTCAAACGGTCTTGCGCGGACATACCATGATGAGGGTAGAGCCCTCGTTGTGGATAATACAGTATCCACCACGACAGCAGCGACACATGCGCTGCGTGTTTTCGATGCATTCGTTGCACTAGCAGTACAGTGGTTAGGCTTGCTATCCCGTGAAGCCGTAGCCTTGGAAGCGATGTGACCCTTTACTTACATTATTGCCGCACTCCCAGCAGCTTTTTGAAATCCGGGCCTATTGAGGGTAGTGTGAGCAAGAAAAAAACTTGTTTAATAGTAAGGCGAAGACGCAGTGCAGCGAGAGCAGAGAGAAAGAGAGAGACAGAGAGCAACAGAGAAGAAGAGCCCCAAATCACAAAAATAGAAATATCACATGCATACAATTTCACCGAGGTGTGCCGTGGAGAGTGCAGGCGGTGCTTAGAGGGGTTCCGGTTTGCCATGGCTTCGGCTGAACCACTTTCCCTCATCAAGTGTTCGACCCGTAGTTGAAATCTTTGTCCCAGCACTCAGTGCAGAGACCATCTCGTACCTTGTAGTAGAGCCCGTTATTCTGTTCGTCGAGTCCTCCGGCAACGAAGCAAGACTCGCACCACCACTTGTGGCACCCCCAACAATAGCGGTCGCGCAGACATTCCATACATCGTGGGATGAAGCGCATCGGCGGCTTGCAGCTGGTCGCTAAGTGTGGCCGGATAGTTGCCCCAGAGGGGCAGCTCGCAATGTTCACATTGCTCGAGTGTAACGGTGGGGGAGCTAGGAGAGGATATCTGCTGGCTGCCTCGTCGTCGTTGTTAGATTCCCCCCACGTCGTCCAGCCTTCGGGCGCCGAACCGCAACCCGCACACCCGTCCAGTGCATGCGTTGCAACAGCCCAGTGTGACGGAGGGTTCGGTGATGGGCCACCACTGCTGCTGATGTTGACTTTCCCAAATGCGGGCGAGTTCAAATGCCTGGGTCCGCGGCAGAGCACGGCATCGAATGCAATGATTCCATCGCAAGCAAGCAGTGTATGCGCCCAGTCCTGCGCTATCGGCCGTGGCACCATCTTGCCTCTGCGGACATACCAAGCATCGCCCTCATCTTTTGTTAAAGCCGCCGTGAGCGCTTCCTGAGAGCGCTGGTTCCAGTCCGCCCCAATGGTCTCGGTGCGCTTCGGGGGCGTTGTACAACAGGAACGGGCGTCTGCCGCAGCAGAGACGAGGGGTTCCTTGGCCCCGAAGATGTACAATGCCTTCAGCCGTGGCGTCCCATCAGGTCTAGTCCGCCGGCACGCAGTCTCCAATGCTCCACGTAACTTGCGCTCATTGAGGTTCTTCGCGTCGCGTAGGGAGAGGATCTTGACGGAGAATGTGGGATCTGTTATAATGTCATGGACGAGTTCGGCGGTGACAGAGAGACCGTCCAGAATCAGCGTTGATACATCGCGAAGGATATTGTGCCGCCGTAGGTTCGAGAAGATGCCGCGGAGAGGGCCGGAGTAGAAGCTGTCGGCAAGCAAGATCAACAATTGCTCAACAAGATAAAATTGCTCAAAGAACAACCAAGGAAGCCATACTCATCCTCCGTCAGGTTCTCGTCGAGCTGAACGTTGCGCCACGTCTCCCCGCCTTGGTCTATAGGGTCAATGTCGAACTGGGCGGACTTGACCTGCGACAAGTCGAGATGGCGGAAGATGGTGGGTGTCTCGTTGATCAGCGCGCGGAAAGATCGCGAGGTGGCGGCGAGGTTCAGGACAGCAGAGATGGGCAGGTAGGGAGCCGTATGGCAGAGGAGGAGGTGATTGGAGAGGAGCTGGAGCAGTGTTCCCTCTCGGATCTCATCAGGGAGAGCAGCACAGTCGTGTTCGTGTTCGTGGTCGTGGTTGAGGTCGCGATTGAGATGGACTATGGCCATCGTAGTCGCGCACGCCGCGCACGCTGCTGGCGGCGAATGACGTCAGAACAAGCAGCAGCCGGTGGCCTGGGGCTGCTATCGCTATCAGAGGACCGTGATGGTCGAGAGCAGCTGTACCAATGTGCACAGTATTGTCGTAATGGCTGATCTGGGAGAGTTTTGATGCTGGAGGAGACAAGGCGCAATCCAAATTGCCTGTTTGTTTGCTGTCAGGAATAGGGACGGGCTGGGATACGAGGGTGTGTTGGATCAGGCCTGGCTTATACCATAGTAGACCAGCCTGCATCCAGTCAGTCGGTGAGGGCGGTATAAGCTAACTTTATATATCTTGAGCAGCAGCCCTCCCGAGCAATCCGACACGAGACAGCAGAAGATGAGGATCTCCCGGGTACAAATGAGTCCAGAATGACAATACTGTGTATGCACGGGCAAGCTCTTGGGAATTACATATAATTATAATTATAGCGCAGTGCACTTTCTGGCACCAAGCTGTGAGACAGTCTGAGTGTGATGGTCTCAAGAGGGGACCTAATGGGACCTAATGGGACCTGATGGGACTTGATGGGACCTGAAAAGCACCAAAGCTGTGTCTTGGCTGGGGACTTGGCAGTGGACGCCTCACCAATTTCGAGGGCCCAAGCCCCTGTAAGCAGCAAGTCCAGGCGGGCTGCCCAGGCGCAGATCACGTCGTGTCACAGATCTCAACATGAAGCTATTAGCCGGACTAAGCGCCGATCGCCCCGAAGTGCCGTGCCCCGAATTCTCATATTCGTTTCGAGGTTGAGGGACAATGGGCAATTGCTATGACTTGTTGACTCGACCCAATGCAATTGCAGCATGCGTGCGGTTCCAGGTAGGTAGGTAGGTACCCTCGGTACCTTATGCATGCATACATACCTGGAGCCCCTACGAAAATACACTACTCAGCGAGATGCAGTCGCTTGTTTGTTAGCGAAAGGGCCGGGCCATTCGACAGTGCGGTGCGGTGCGGTGCGGGGGAGCATTGCCCGGGATTCCATTCTGAGAAGCTCCTCAGGCTGCTGGAGTGAAGCGTCCTGCAGGAGGCTTGCTGCAGTGGTGAGGCGACAATGGATAAACATGCTGTCTTCTCCACCGATCATTGGCCGTTGCGTTTTGCTTACGGTGGCCATTTAGACATGGGAAATTGTAATCATTTGGATGCTGATAATAACACTGATACTGATACTGACACTGAGGGAAATGCTTAGTCATTCGTTCTCACATACTGTATAGTATACCAGGGAGTGCCGGAACCTAAGAACCACCGGCCTCCGGGTCCCTTATCTTACGTAATGTGCTTGGCCCCTCCACTAGCATTAGTTAGGTAAGATAGCTGGCTGGCCTTGCCTCCTCGCCCTCCACCACTGGTGGTCGCCTATGAGCTCACTATCGCGATAGAAGCTCGAAGAACCAGGCTGACTGAGCAGGTCCGAGGATGCCATTCACAACTACATCAACATTTCCTTGTTTCCTTTAACTGTGTCTGGGAAATGCTGTGGATCCACGGATAGAGCGTCTTTGTATTCTCATGTTTTGCTCGTATTTCCTAAAGACTGTGTTGCTAGGTTCACTGGGGCCACCACCAATCTGCTTAAATAGCTACATCTCACGATCCATCTAATCGTGATAGGCTCATGAACACGTCCTGCAGATAAACAGCACAAAGACAGCCGACAGCGGGCATCACAAGGCCAAAATGGCTGATCAGCCTATAGACCTGAAATGGTCAGCACCTTTCAACGTCGTGTCTTCCTCGTCCAAGGCAGCAAAAGGACTCGATGGCGACAAGATCCGATTACCGCAGTCCGCCCTCGAGCAGCTACTCGCCGAGTCCACGAGACACACCCAGAGTCACGGAACCGCATACGACCCCTCGAACCCATATCTATATAGTACCCGACAAAACTACTCCGATTCCCTCGCTGGCTTCACCGGTCAGCTACCAAACCCTCTCATGTTCCGACTCGTCAACCAGAACAATGGCAACGTGGTATTCGCAGGCATCCGGGAGTTCTCCGCCGAGGAGGGCGAGGTGGCACTAAGCCCATACCTCCTAGAGGCTTTGGGTATCAAGGAGTCCGGCTCGAAGAACGGAAGCACCGAGGACGATGCGATCGATCTGACATCCGAGCACATTCACAGCGAGAGCCGAGTGCAAATTCGAGTCGATGCGAAGAGCTTGCCGAAAGGCACATACGTCCGCCTACGGCCCTTAGAGGCCGGCTACAACCCCGATGATTGGAAGTCGCTACTAGAGCGTCATCTTCGCGGTGCATTCACCACACTTACTAGAGACACAATGCTCTCGGTACACGGAGTCAGGGGCGAGACATTCCAGTTCCTGATAGACAAGTTCGAGCCAGAAGGAGATGGAATATGCGTCGTCGACACCGACTTACAAGTGGATATCGAGGCATTGAACGAGGAACAAGCCCGCGAGACGGTTCGCCAGATCGTGGCCAAGTCGCAGAGAGCTCCTGGGACGGCAGATGGGAGCTCAGTTGGGGGACCGATCGATATCTGGAAAGCGGTGGAAGGACAGGTACTCGAGGGGGAATACGTTGACTTTGTGCTTGACTCTTGGGACCACAGCCGGCACTTGTTGATCGAGTTAAGCGACATTGAGGATGGCAAGGAGGTCGACCTCCTCATCAGCCCTAGGTCTAATCGACAAAGAGCACCCCCTCGCGACTCTGAGCATGTTTTCGGGGAATTCTCATCGCCGACCAATGGCACGAAGAGCATCTCATTATCTCCAAACAATGTCGAGCTCGAAGGTGCAGAAAGCCTGGGCATCTCAGTTCATGGCTATGCAGACCCAGACAAGACACCTTCGGACTCTCAACCAAGGACATTCTCACTTCGTGCAAGGGCGTCGTTGCCGGAGTCCGTTAACGGAGCCATGGAGGGCGTGGAACAACACTCTCCTGAGGAAGAGCAGTGCAAGAATTGTTTGCAGTGGATTCCCAAGCGAACAATGATGCTACACGAGAATTTCTGCCTGAGAAACAACATCGTCTGCCCCGATTGCAAGCAAGTTTTCCAGAAGCGATCGGCCGAATGGCAAAACCACTGGCATTGCGACTTTGGTGACGGGTATGGCAATACAGCAGAGAGCAAGACGAAACACGACAGAATCTTCCATACTCCCCATGCCTGCCCGCACTGCGGTCCTGAGCAAACTTTCCCGTCTCTTCCCCTCCTCGCTCGCCACAGAACAACAGTCTGTCCAGCCAAGATCATTCTCTGCCAATTCTGTCATCTCGAAGTCCCTCAAGAAGGCGACCCAGCCGACCCGTCATCGGAAGCCGAGACAGCTTTGACGGGGCTAACCGCACATGAGCGCGCTGATGGTGCGCGAACGACCGACTGCCATCTCTGCGGGAATATCGTCCGTCTCCGTGACATGGCAGCTCACATGCAGCATCACGAGCTAGACAAGAAGGAGCGCGCGAAGCCCGAAGTGTGCAGAGACCATCTGTGCGGACGGACGTTATACGGCGTAGGGCCAAAGGGCCAGGTCGGTGCGGGACTACGCATGGGCCAGGGCCCGGGCAACGATCTCGGGCTCTGTTCTATATGCTTTGGGCCTCTGTACGTGTCGATGCACGACCCCGAGGGCAAGGCTCTACGGCGCCGGATCGAGCGCCGCTACTTGTCGCAATTGATGACTGGCTGTGGCAAGAGCTGGTGCGTGAACGAGTGGTGCAAGACCGGCAGGAAGAACCTGGGCGTAGAGCCCAAGGTCAGCAGTGGTGGCGCGGCCGCCGCTTTGCCGCTAGTGAAGCCGCTGTTGGGCGAGGTCAACGACAAGAGCAAGCCAATGCACTTCTGCGTCGATGAGGGCGGTCAGAAGCGGAAGCTTGTGGCAGAGTTCCTAGCTAACGAGGGCCTGTGGGACATTGAGTGGTGCTGTGCAGCCACCGAGTCTGAGGGCGCAGACCCGGACAAGGCCAGGGAGTGGTTGAGGAACTGGGCGCCGACCAAGCTTGGAGCATGAGAGATGTTTATAGATGTTATGAGGGATGCATTGGAGGAGTTTACTGTAAGATACCCTGGAATGACTGCACGTCACAAGCTTTGCATATAGAATGGGGTACGATGTAGAATAGAGAAATAAAAGAATCTAACGAAATACATGGTCCCTCCAAGACGTCAGTCTGTCCATTCCTTTAACAGCCACTTCACATCTTGATTGAGTTCATCCCCGTCTTTGTGGCCGGTCTAGTTGGTCTACGTAGTCGTCAGTCTATCAGGTCAATAGAGGGGTTGGCAATGTTCTTACGCAGCATTTACAGCCATCGCACTTCTGGCAGGCACATGTAGCGCAACCGCAGGTAGCAGGACCCATACTGAGGAGCGTCGATTTGTGTTGTTCTGATATAGAGATGTTGTTTGATTGTTCGGTTGAGAGAGGCGTCGTGAGTATGATAATTTTCTAATTCTTACAGAAAGTGCGGAACGAAACTCTGCGTACACAGCTCCTTTATATACTTAAGGTGTCGACAGTGAACAGCCAAATATTCTACAGAACAAGATATTGCCTTGACACGTCGGATCTGACACCATTGCCATCTTCACCACGTTCACGTCCTGAGGGTGGGGAGTTCCGGCTCATGATACGTGCAGTACGTGACTGAATACGGCCCGGCTTCCTCCTGTTCAAAGCTCGGCAGCTTGATCACCTCGCGCCACATTTGTCTCAAGTTGTCTGGTTGGGCTTCGACAGCTTGAGCCAAGCAACGTCAGAAATGGCGAACACTTCCAATTACTGTGGTCGAGGCGGAGGCAACCAATCTAGGTGTCGAGAGGTGTAACACAGAAGTGGGAAGGGTAACACAGCAGAGGATGAGTCGAGAATCACGGATCGACAACTTGTGGCGCACCCCCTTCGGGTACCGTAGCCATGGCATTCTTTCCCATGGCAAGTTCCCGCCGCAGCCGACAGGTAATGCATGTGAAGGAACTGCTGGTATGCTGCACAACGCAGACAAAACGGATGCTGACGGATTTTCTTATTGCACTTCCTAATCTAGGTCTTGTACTCACCCGTTGATATTTGCCTTTGTGTGCTCTCCAAATGTTGTGGGTTCTGCAAATTCTCTTACGGAAGGGTTTACAAAACAAAAACAGAGAAATTGAGGTCAGCTTGGCTATTTGTTATCCAAGGAGTAATGAAATAGAGTGACGGCACTTTTTAAACCGGGTTTGCGAAGATAAACAATTTGACGTACGACCTCGCAATTATTAGACAGTTAGAGATATGCATGAACACTTTCTTACTATATGTTTCCCACTCTTGAGACCGGTCTCTTAATTTTTGACGCTGCTTTTCTAAGTACGATCAGTGACCCGCGATTCATTGTGACTAAGCTTTGTGGTTCTTTGTTGAATAAATCTCTTTGTCAGTTGACAATGCGGTTGTTGACGCTTCTCAACGAGAACCTGAACTTGAAAGTAGGACTTGAAGTTATGAAACCTCCAAAAATTGTCCCCAATATTTCTCCCTCCTAGAATATTCGCAGCAGACAGAGACGGATGGTTGTGACAAGTCACCATGTGTTACAGAATATCAATCCACTATATGATCTGCGACAGGCGGCCTCTGATGTCTACAACTGCGGACGTCACGAGCCACGAGACACCATATGTCAATCCTTATGTCGCCCCTTTATCATGCCACAAAGATACTTGTCCAGGTAATGGAACCGGCCCTGCTAAGCCAGAAGGTAATGCATGCTCATATCATCCTTGCTGCACTAGGGTTATGAAGGAGCTACGGTGTCCGAAAGACTGCTGCCCAGAGCAGCACAAAGGCAGCTGGAAAAGCGCATACTTGGCACACGAGACGCATGTCGATGAGTGTGGTCATTTTCGCCCATTGAATTATTACGTACAGGAGTACAGAAAAGTGCCGGGCACCGGCAAGCACTTAGTTTGGACGAACGCAAAATTGGTCGATGCACAGTATTTCCGGGGCGAGGCTACGGAAGCACCTTGCGAGACATTGGCATTTATCCAAGCGCGCATGTGTCTGTTTGGGAACATGCGGAGATTGTATCTGCTGAGAGAGAAGCTGAGAGAGAGGATGAGAGAGTTCGATCGAACGAACAATTCGGAAATTCAATCGATACTCTCCAAGGAGGCGATTAGTCTGATTGCTGACCGATACAGGGATGCTAAAGACGCGGCTTTATTGATGCGCAGTTCCGTTGAAGATAGCTTCATTAACTTGAGGCTCTTTAGCAGGAGCAATGAAGGAGTCCTTGAGGCAGATTTCTTCAGAGAACCGCGAAGACCAAACCGGCGGAAGACGCTCGAGAGAAAGCTGAGTTCTTCAAGCAACGTTCAAATTGGAAGAGTAGAGAGCGCACGTCCCTATTAACAAGGTCAGTATTTCTGGTTTCACGGTGTATCTATATATTAGAATTTGAATGATATGTTTATCTTGCGACATTGCTATGTTCGTGACATTGAGGTTCGATTTTCCGTTCCGGGTAGCTAGGGCTCCCCACTGTGATTTGGTTAGCGCTTCGGCAGGCCAGTCCTCCCGCATTCCCCAACTTCTGACGTGACGTAGAACCAAAAAAAAAAATTAAAAATTACTCCTGCGCGTCATTCTCCAAGCTCACGAGAAACGTGTATCAAGCATTTCCCTCGCCACACCTGAAGCAAGCTCGAATTGCGCATCGACAAGAGCGGGTGCGAGAGAGACGACCAAGTGTCTTACCGAGCTCTGTCGAGCTGCTCATACGGGACACGATGGCACCACGCAGATCGAAAGCTGCTGTAATACCTCCTCCGTCGAAGACACTAGTCCTTGACAACGGCGCGAGCACCTTGAAAGCTGGCTTTGTTACCGATGAATCCACCGATGACCCGAGGATAATTCCAAACTGTTTGGCCAGGGATCGGCAGAGGAGGACATATGTCGCATCGGATCTCGAAAAATGCAAGGACTTTGGGGAGATGGCATTTCGTCGACCCGTTGAGAAGGGCTATATCGTGAATTGGGAAGCACAGAAAGAGATATGGGATCATGAATTCTTCGACGATAAAGCGCCGCAGAAATGCGATCCTTCCGAGACAAGACTCATTCTCGCCGAACAGCCAAATTCACTGCCAGCATTGCAGAACAACTGCGATCAGATGGTGTTTGAGGAGTATCAGTTCGCAAGCTACTATCGTGGCACTGGTGCGTAGCGTTCTGACTACCACAAAATACTGTGTGGATGGTCAGACTGACTGACAGTATAACAGGCCCGTCCTTCAACGCTTATCGTGACATTCAAGATATCTTTCACACCCCGAAAGACGTCGATAGCATTGCTCAGCTGCCAGCCGAGATTTTACTGCTCATCGACTCTGGCTACTCTTGCACGACAGTCACGCCTATTCTCAAAGGGCGGCCACTACAGTCTGCAATTCGAAGGCTCGATGTTGGTGGAAAGCTTCTAACAAATTATCTCACCCGACTATTATCTCTGCGCCATTATGATATGCGCAACGACACATACATTGTGAATGAGATGAAAGAGTCCGCTTGCTACGTTGCCCTGGACTTCAAAGGGGATCTCGAGAAAACTTGGAAAGGAACTCGAGGCGAGAGACGGGATGACTACGTCAGCGGCGGTGGTATTGCCAAAGACTACGTGCTGCCAGACTTTCATGCCCGGCCTATGGGTATTGTCCGTGATTACGACCCGATGGCAACCTCTCGCGCGCGGAAACTTGCTGCTGCCGCGTCAAACGAAGACATTCTCACGCTACGCAATGAGCGTTTCACTGTTCCCGAGCTTCTATTCAACCCGTCGGACATCGGTATGCAGCAACCCGGTCTGGCCGATTTGGTGATGCAATCACTTTCTGTCCTTCCAATTGGCCTGTGGCCTGGTCTTCTTGCCAACGTTGTGGTGGTGGGCGGCAACTCGCTTTTCGAAGGCTTTATTCAACGTCTCAAACAAGAGATTGTCCTGCGTGTTCCGGATGACTGTGTCGTTAGGGTGGCACGGCCAGCGGACCCAATCACCAGCACCTGGTCCGGCGCAGCAAACTTTTCCAAGCATGAGCATGTGCATCGCCTGGCTGTGACAAAACAAGAGTATGAAGAGCACGGGGCTCAAGTTATTGCACGCAAATTTGCAGTTGGGTTAGGCGCAGACTAATCAACCCCTCCCCTGAGGTTATGGAACACGCGCGTATCGTTCACAGCACGGGCCCGAGACATCCAAGAATACCACTGCTGGCAAGTAGGTGTCAGACTAACGGTCTTTGGAGCTTTGGGCATCCAGAGTTTCCGGGTTCAAAAATCCCATACCCAATCGGCCTGATCTCTTATCCAACCGTGCAAGTCCTGTCTCCTGATTTTGAACTTGCTTTCAGGGGGAGACCTTGTCAAAGACGGCTAGTGCCGCTTTACTAGCACTGGGTAAGAGATATATCCGCGTTTTGGTTAAGCCTGATGTCCCTAATGGCTGCTGCTACAAGCTGCCGTTCTTGCCAGAACTGTGCCCAGGAAATGTTGGCCCGGACACTTCTTTGGCCATGCCTCATCCTCCGCCATCATGTACGCTTGTTTCGGATGGAGGTGGTCTCTTGCACCCAGCGGACAATTGTTCCTTTGACAGAACACCACAGTATTTCCGGGCAAGGCCGAAGACAAGGGTTCTTGGCTCGCATGCCGGCGGCTCAATGTAGTAGGACAGGGCCTTTAATCTGGCCTGACGCCTCCGAGCATGGCGAATCCCCGCTCCGGACGTATTCGGCATGTCGTTTCCGGCTGGCAACTCATAGCATGTTCGAGAAACCTGATAACTGATATATCATGTGCTGTTATCAGCGGATGTGCAGCATCCAAAGCCTCGTATGATTAAAGGCTGGCGCGCTCCCTTCGCGACCGCTAGGGGGAAGTGTCGCAACACCGCTGCCACCAAGTTCGGCATTCGGAAGCTGTCAAACTTTTGTGGCTGGAAGCCACACGACGAAGCCTTCGAGCAATTGTCTTTCACGACTCCCACTGGAGCTTGCAAGTTTATCTTGGTTGCTGCCGGGGTTGGAGAGGACTTTGCAACCTCCGCTTGGCCACCCAATGGTTGTAATATGCTGGAAAATAATAGGCTACCTCTTGCAAGATTTGCTCTGGCATTCTCATCCCCCTATGAATGCCTGAATAATCTCATGATCTTGTTAGTTGACAGCTCCGAGGCTTATAATGGAGTAAGTAAACAACAGCTTGCTTATTCTGTCGGGAATGTTAAATCCAAGCAATGGTAATACAAGCAGTTGTCCCATTTTAAAGTGTCCGAGTCTTTGCGCGATTGGCTGTACATGGGCCATTTCTGCGGGCTCCTACAGCGATCTGCCCCAACCCTGTGTGCATCGAGGCTGTGTATTCTGCAGCGCTCAGTAGCTAGTACAGTCCAGACTCGTCTAGTTTGGTCTGGATGCGAGATGGCTCTTTGCCTGCTTATGGTTAAGCTAAGACTTCGGCGCAAACGCCTCTTTCGACATACCTACGTAAGTGACAGTTACGACATCCATTCCACTGTAGTATGTGCTGTGAAACTAGCTGATTATGGTATAACTGCGACTCCAATTGTTTGATCAAATCTCGCAACACCGCTTGACTTCGGACGAACAATGTATGGAGAAGTAGTGGCTGTAATCTGTTTGTGATTCATAACTTCGAAGTGACGGTGCCCGTAATTGGTGGCTTGACTCTGTCGCACGTCGCACTATTGTCTTACCACCCACACCCTTACAAAACCAAAGCTGAGGAGATATCAACCATGCCATCTGGAATGGGCTCCGAGAGGTCTCCTACTGGTCCACGTCCATATTCACTGAAATGCCGCATCTGTCTCCAGTCCCCTGACATGTGCACTCCTGTACGTCGCCGAATACGGCAATCTCTAACTCGTAAGCTCTCATACCGCTGTCGGCTTGCAAGCAGCATACCGAGTTACCCAGTGAGCTAGAGTGGGAGTCTGCCGCTCCACGTGGGAAAGGAGACGATCAAATAGCGCTGGTTGGCCTGGCGTTTCAACCATATGACACCTTTTGCTTGACCGGTCCGCTGGCTCCCCGCATCATATGCATCCAGATCACAGCGATGTCCTCTCTTGTCAACATGCAGTTGACAAGGTGGAAGATATAACAGTCGCGGTCGAGCTCAAATTTCTCACTCCTTACTTGCCTCCTGGTGCCTCCGAGAATAGCCACAATGGATTCATATCAGTACCACGTTCACATTATGCCGAAGCGGGGGATCAGCTTCAAGAGGTGGCATTCACTTCCATTGCCAATACAATAGAAGAAGTATTGAATGTGAGGGCAATGTCATGCTACGAACTACAGAGGCTTGGAATTCAGGAGAGAGATGTCTGGGAGTCGTGTTGGATCGTCAAGAAATCCAACTCTGCCGAACCCACTTTGGATGACCCTCTTTATGAAGGTTACTTATGGGTACCCGTTGAAATCAATTCTCCAATGATCTCTGGGACCGGAAATGCTATCCAGCCACTAATTGAGGCGGTGCTTTGCGGTATAAAGTCGCGGCATAGAATCGTCACGAATCATACTTGTGAACTCCATGTTCATGTAGGACGGAGGGATGGCGAGCTCTTTTCGCTGCTAACCATGAAGAAGCTTGCAACGTTATGTTGGCTTGGCGAGCCGATACTCCGCACCCTCAAGGATCCGAAGTCGCCCAATTTCAATCACACCTACACCTGGAGCTCGCCGATGACAAAGTACAGCCGGCTTGCAATAGCACTAAGAAACAAAGAAAACCATGCCTTGATATGCAGAAAGGAATCTGGTTGCTTGAAGGTACTTATGAAGACCGTGCGCGACGACGTGGAAGAGGAGACCAATGAACAATGCGCTGCAGTCAAGGCGATATGGAGAACACGCTCCCATTTGGAGCTGGGTAGGCTACTTTCTGGTTCGGAGCGCCAATATCGTCGGCTTGGATTTAATTTCAGTGCTTTGGGGCAAGAAGACGAGAGAGCACGCAAGGGACCGAAAACCGTGGAATTCCGCTTCTTGGAAGGCCCTTTAAGCGACGAAATCGTTCTGGCATGGATACATATTTGCTCTATGCTTGTTGAAATATCTGTCACTGAAGGTGGCATTTACAACCACTTTCGAGGCACGTTGAGATGGTTATGGAATTATGACGACAAGCAACCAAAGGATCATAATTTTGCCACTCTTATGGAGGAATTGGGCGTGGAGAGAGAAATATACAGGCCACTTCAAAGTAAAATACGCAATGATCATGGGCTCTTTGGAGGTGGAGATATGCAAGAGGCAGAAACCATTTGGTCAAATGTTCTTCAATGATAGCATTTAACCCCAAATACGTTCATGGGATACTATGGACGCAATCGGGCTTCACTTAAGTGCAAGTCACATAATAGGGAGTATTAAGAGATAGACCTGTAGTCTAACGACTTCTACGGAATTCTCAGGAGTGTTGATCGAGTGACCAATTCCCTAGACGTCTATAATCAGCGGCAAATCATTAGGAAACATTGTGTGGAATTGGCCAAGATGCCTCTTAAATTTTTAGTAATTCCTTTGTATAAATCCATAGCTCGAGGGATTATGCTAGATAGAGAGTTTCCTAGAGCTTTCCCTTGTCATCAGTGCTTGTTATTCATTTGATTGAATACTTTCTTGACAATATGGCTAGATCGCAAGATGTTGGCAGTGCCTCATGACTTCGTGGCAAGAGCATTGCTACATTCATGTAACCAGCTCACAGGGAAATCTCAACAAATGGCTTGGTACTGCTGAAATGTTTTCGGTAGCGTTCGTCTTCTAGCCGCTGGCGCGATGGGTAATGTCCCACGTTTGATTAAAAGGTGTGCAGTCGAACATCATCTATCTATTCGTATCGCACCGCGACGCGACCATTGGGCATGCAGAGCACCTTTGATGACCACATTCGAGACATGCAGGGGTTGTTTCAGTATAATATGGCCCCTCACCACAGACACACTATGCAACAATTGAATTAGAAGTAGTGACGGTCGAAGATCACAAAAACACCTACACATACCCAGTGAAGATACACCACAAGAGGCATTAGTCCGGTTTCCTCCAAAGCGATATGCTACATGCAAGACGCTTAACAATGCTTTAATCGAACAAAAATCAAATGTTAAGAATACCTAACATGCTTGATAGAGTAGACAGTTAGGCATGCAGCAAAAATCTTGTCTTGCTCAGCCTTGTGCTACACTTTTATTCACGAAATTGTCACGTGGTTTTCCAACAAAAGAGATGTGCTAAATGCCTTGCCTTCTATTTCTACGCGGGGTCATATCGATCGCGACTTCTCTTTAGGCATCTGCCTGCCTTACAATTACTGATCAAATGCACCATGGCAGACCCTCTTACCATCCTTGGCGGCATCGCATCAATTTCTCAACTAATCAGCGCCATTATCGGAACAGCAGAATCAATTTCAGTAATTTGCGACAACTTTGAAGACGCGCCTGCTGAGTTGTGCAGAATGAAGCAAATACTAGAGATTATCAAGTGCAGTATCCTCGACCTCAAAACACAATTCTCGGACCAGTCAGATGACGTCATTATTCCTGCCGAGCTTAGGCAGGTATTCCTCAAAACTATTTCCCTTGTAGAAGAGGATATGTACACTTTGCGGAAAGAGATTGGCATTGACACTGTTTATCCACGTGAGATAAACACATTTAGGAGCAGGCTTAGGTGGGCGGTCATGCAGCGCAAACCCACACAAAAGAAGCTTGAGCGTCTGAAAGAGTCTGAAAATATGCTCTTATTAGTGCTACAGCATTTGAATTTGTACGTAATAATGCACTGTTGTCTAGGATACCCACTGTGCCGTCTTCGAGGTAGTGGTCTGACCTTGAACAGCCGCTTGACTTTGCTATATCTAGGCAACAAATCAACTCGTCATGCGCCGCCTGGAAGCATACCAGTTCAAGGGACAAGAATTCCGATTTCTGAAATCAAATCGTTAATTTTGGGAGTTGATCATTGGTTGCGAAACCTAGGGATTTTTGGATCGTATTCATACATCTTTGGAGCTGGTCGATGGGAGCGAAATTTGAAAATCGGATTGAACATGCCAACCTGGCTATGGTTAAAAACTGTTCTTGTCGAACTTCGCTTAACGAATCATGCCCCTGGTGTTAGTGGATTTCGACTTCTTCCCTCTGAAATACGCTTGCAAAACCGAGTGCCTATTGAATCGCCGTTCATGGTTGCGTGTCGTAATGGCGATGTGGAGCTCATTCGACAATATATGAATATGGGTATGGGCCAAGTGCACGACAGAACTATCTGCTCAGGAGAGACACCTCTTCTAGTGAGTTACTTACTACTGGAACGGTATTTAACGCAGCCAGCAGATTTACTGATTAACCTGCCAGCTTGCAATTGAGTCGCGAAGCCTACCGTCAGTACGACTGCTCTTGGAAAGTGGAGCAGAGCCAAACATCGGCAATGATAATCAAGTGTACGGCCCTACTTTTATTATTCAATTCACCTTTTTTACTAACAATACAGTCTACCCATATTTGCTGCGGCTAGCTCGAGATTAAAGTTGATCAATGGCAAATACTTACAGCTACCTCCGCAATGGGAGTCGTGGCTCGATGCTGTACGAATTCTGCTGGACCACGATGCTTCGATTCATGAGGTCGTGCACGGAAAGATGATGGGAACTATGAATATATTGCATCCCCAGAAACCTGACAGAACATTAGATTATTTGAATTTGCTCGGTGAGGCCGGGTATGGCGATTTCGGTATGGTGGACGAATCCGGGTTGTCAGCTCTGAGATTGGCGATCAGGAGTCCATGTCATGCGTTGGAGGCCATTAAGAAACTCCAAAGGAAAAAGATTGATTTACAGAAAATTCTAAATGATGGGAGGACGTTCTTGCATATCGCTGCCGAGCTGGCCCCCAATGTCGAGGTTCTGGAGTATGTATACTCAAATGGCTGTGCACATTACATAAACCGCCAAGATAACTACGGATGGACACCCTTACACTGGTGTGTAAGTGCAACAACTCCACGCGCTGGTTTGGGAATAGACCCGCTCGCCAAATTCAAATTTCTCATATCAAGAGGAGCCGACTTAAGCTTAAACGCTAGGGAAAGTCCGTTGATGCAGTGGGGATTTTACGATTATCAACGTTTCACGCCTCTTGATCTAGCTGAGGCGAATGAACCGGATCTCTTCAGAGATATTTTGCTGGATGCTCGGCAGCAACTCAAATTGAATCACGATGATGAGTCAAGCATGTTCTATGATGCTATGGAGAGACTTGATGACAATATTGTCTGAATGTCCTCCAATGTCATATTGAACCCCCTTGCTGCGTTCCGTGACCTGCAAATGGTTATCCTGATGACCAAGCATGCATTCCTCTAGCAAAACAATGTCCCTATCATCAAAGTTCATGTCGCAGCTATGTGCGGGCAAGGAATTTACAATGGCTGAACGAGTCTTGCTGAATGGGGTTTCTCAAAACGCAAAAATACATCCATTGCATTGCTCTTTAGCTCTTGAGGCTTGGAATCAAGGCGACCTCGGTTATACTCTCGCGGAAACCCAGGTGCCCTTCGAAAAGGTGATAAATTCAGAACTTATCCTCCTAACCCCAACCTTCGAGGGTCTTGAAGGGTGTCAAAGTATACTAGCAGCTACTTAGGTAACAACCATTTTCCCGTCGTCTATCCTCTTTTGCCACCACTCATGTAGCGGAGGAGACCCGCAAACTAGTAAATTGACAGGTGAGTCTAAAAGAAACCTATCGATAACCTCGGGAGGGGCGAACTCCAGGCCTTCGAAGCGGAAGAGGCGCTGTTTGTAGTGTCGCATGAAGGCGGAAAAGTTAGGTTGCAGTTCATTAGACTTCAGTAATCTGTAAGCTCTTTCGAGGAAACCCGTGTCTCCATGGGCCTCCACATGGGGAAACGCGGGAGCTGCCAATGGTGTTAGCTTTGCTAGAAGTGAACTCGGAAATTCAAAGTTCCACTTACCCATCCCGAAACGGACCAGCTCTCTTTCAGTCTCTAGAACGAGATACTTTGAGAAAATGGAGTCTACGGTTTCCAGCTTTCTCGCTTGAATATGCAAATTGTACATATTGACCTCGAAAGGCCCATCATTGGCAATCCAAGCCGTCCAAAAGTCTGTGCCATGTGCATTCTCGACGTAGGCAATCATGTCGGTCACGACGGCCTTTTCCACTATCCATTGAACGCTATATGAATTTGTCAGGATTTGCTCTACCGTGGATCATTAATCCCAGAATGACCGATTCTTACCTATCAAGATTCCAGAACATGGGGCCCCACGAGTCGGCAGAACGGCCGAGAACCCTCGTTGCGTTACCCATGAAGCCTCGCATGATGTCGTTCTTGGCCATTCTTGATCGCCACACGGTTGGTCTTTGAACATACTCATCGAACATCTCCCTCAAGCTAAACGGTTGTACCACGGTGGCCTCCGAATCCAGCCAGAGACCCCAGTCATAGTCGAAGTCAATAGCTGGAATGATTTTCTTCATAGTCTGGTAGGAATATCTTCCAACTTTCTCTAGTAGTGCTGATGTGTCGTCCGCAGAAACACCCTCCTTGAATCGCTCTGGCATGATGTCGTATAGGTTGACGACGTTAAGCGCCGGCATCGGTCCGTCCACATTGCTATTGGGGACTTTCCATCGTCCAAATGTCGTCCCACACGGCTCCATGGCATTCATAGCATTAGTGAACTGGTTGACTTCTTTCGTATCCGACACGATGACGTGGAAGGTAATGTCGGTGAAGTCTGAGCCCAGACATTTCAAGGATCGTAAGAAATTGACCGCCAACGGAATGTGCTTTTCCTAAATACAGCCTATTAAAATTGCGCGGCCTTGAAATGCCGTATTATGGTCTAGATGAACAGCAACATAAAGGGTTGGCCTACATATGTTGGAAGAAATATGGCATACTTCAATGCCTCGAGGTTGCTAACGGCATTCAGTGGTATGGAATCGCTTGGGCCGAGTGCAACAAGTCGGTCCTTGTAGGCGCTTTTATCTCCCGTCTGTGGAGTCGGGCCCGAGAGAACAAAATGATCTTCATGCGTCTCGGGGAGCTTCGCGCTTGGGCGGTCCGTCCGGTGGGTTGTGACCACATGGTCCAAACGAGGATATAGTGCAAACGTGAAGACGAATACTAAGAATGCTGCTAGACCAATGACGAAAGGTCGGCGTTGTCTATGAGAGAACGCAGAGCGCGTTAGACGGGTGAGGGAGATACTCAATTGTGGTAGTTCGACTGGCGTACCTAGTAACGAGATCACTACTCACGGTCGCCCATTTTTGCTGCCACATGATGGATTTACAGAGTCGACATGACTGGAAGAATGCTCTTAAGAAGTAGAAGAGATATTACAGAACACACAATGGAACAAAAGAACGAAGACAGTCAGGAGATATGATAAGATGACAAGACCTAATATGGGGGGATCGTGCATTCAATAGACAAGTGGAAGGTGTGTTTCGAAGGCACACCAGAAAGTCGAGGATTGCTTATCAGTACCAAATGGTGCAATGGCTGCCAAAGACCATCGTCTCGATCGTCAATGTGGCTGTCACCCATGTCAAACCGTACTGCGAATCATTCATCCCACAAAGGTGGCGGGGCGAAGATAAACTCCTGTCTCAGGGGCAAATGACAGTCCCAAGAAGTCAAAGTTGATCGGACACTCGAAAGGGGCTACTCGGACTTTGTACCTGGGTATTTGAGCCTCTACGCCTGCACGGTACGTCGTACTCTAGTCTACAGTAGCAAGCCATCTTAGAGTGAGATAAGAAGTGCGAGGATTATAGCGCCCCAAAAGCCTAGACGCTTTGGGACGCCGGCACAGGCATTGGAGAAAAAGAGATTGAACCCGGACCACATTCTCAGCTTTTGTCTCAGTGCAGCCAAAAGAAGCGACTTGATTCGCAAACCCTAATTGAATCAGCCTTATCAGCTTGAGCCACTCAATCCTTGTCGAGTGGGAATGAGTGGCTGCATATGCTACGCAAAGACCCTTCTCAAAGTCCATTACGCTTTGAGCACTTGAAAGTGAGGGACTGGTGCCGTCCTTCACTTGAACTGGCTGGTACTTCGATCCATCTACCATCATATGGCGATGTTGGTGGCTTTGGTCTCTCTTCTCATCAATGATGTGATTTACAGTGGTAGAGGTAAATTCTTAGATTGAAACATTGACAAGCGCAGGTGCATATGACTAGGAGTTCCACTTGGGTTTACCTGCTCCTCTCTCTTCGCCTCGATCTTTACTTTGTCTAGCTTGTATTTCTTTTTGGGGGGTTATTTCGGATTCTTGACCAATCTTGAATGTATGGAACATGTGCGGTGCGAAGCAACCATAACGCTCGAGTTGTTGGATGCGGTAATGCTGCATGGGTACAGTGAATTGCTTAAATTAGACGAGAGTGGGGGCAAAGGGGGTGCTGACCCGTCCATGCAGTAGGAATGCGGATTGGCTACACGTGCTGACGGGAGGAAGTAAGACAGGCAGGTAATCAAAGCCCGGCAACCTTCCCAGAGGCTCGCCCTCACCGCCTAATTGCATGACGGTGAGCTTCGAGGTTGTCTGGAATCCCAAGGATCACTCAGCAGGATAACGATATATCATGTTGCAATCGTGTGGAGATTAGCAGCAGGATCGCTTTAGTTTCTCCTGAAGACCAAAGCCAACGCCCCGAAGCCGATTCGACGAAGTATCATGCAACTCAATGCAATTTACTTTATAACTGGCTTCGAACAACGATAAATCTAGACTAATGATAAGCTTGGAGTGTCTCCGTAGGTAGTCGCCCATGCAATGGGACTCTGTTGTCCTACCCAGCTATTCCAACTACTGCGTCAGTAAGCACACTTTTGAAATTAATATCTTGAGCCACCGACGCGTCGTCGCCTGCGCCGACAAATATTGTTCTTCATCGAAAGACAAAATGCGAGAGAGAGGAAATAAGAAGTATTCCTTCACCCCAAGAGGAGTGATCTGCTCTTTAGACAATTGTGTTTGGGCCAGGATTGGCTGTCATGCAGTCAATGCTGTCAGGTGTCTACAGCTTGAGGCGCCCCAACGAACACTGTCCTCTTGGACCCCTCATGAGACAAGGTGTTTCATTGGAGAAATGCTCCAATGGCCAGCGTCACATGGTCGGCCCCATCATGGGTCTGCAACCCGGTGATTGTACCTCTCCTGAGACATTCTACAACGAAGAATGAAGGTTTATATAAAGCTTCCTTTGAACTATCTACTCTCTTCACGCGAGGTAAATTCACGGATTACTTAGTATGATTGAAATACGAGTAATGAACATTCGCGCTAGCCTTCAGTCAATATGACTACTGCATACACATACTCTGACCTAATTTATCGCCTGAATGATCTCGAGCGTCTGGCGAACCCGCCACGGAAAGGCGAGCGCGGCGGCTGCATGTCGAGCTACGACCGCCGCTCGCGGTATGATCCCGATACAGATACATACATTGACTGGGATGCCAATGATGATGGCACCGGCTACATTCGTAAGGAGGATGATTGGATTGTCGCGTTCGAGCAGGAGGGCCCTGGGGTTATCTGGCGCGTTTGGTCAGCCAAGGCGGATACAGGAAACATCCAGATTTTTATAGACGACGCTACTGAACCGGTTGTCGACGAGCCTTTCCGCGACTTATTCGAGAAGTTCAACAATGACTTTCCACCGATGAATTTCCCGTCCCTGGTGCCGACTTTGTCCCGTGCCCGCAATCGTTTCATCCCAATTCCGTACAATCGTTCGTGCAAGATCCGCCTAGCGCCTGGATGGGGCATGTACTTCCACTTCACTTACACGACATTCCCGGAAGGGACGACTTTGCCAATCTTTACCAACACTTTCGATCGCGAATCATGTCTAGCTCTAGCAGACGTCGACAGAAAGCTCGGACAGCGCGGATGGGAGTCGCTCCCACGGGGCGAAGCAGACTCGTTGGATCACTTCAGTGTCACTATCCCTGCAGGTGGAACCGTTACGGCTCGCGAGATTCTCGGTAATCGTGCTATTACTGGTATACGTATAGTTCCGCTAAATCTTCCCGATTCCAAAGCTGATGTTGCTCGCGTCTTGCGAGAGCTGACGCTCCAGATCACATGGGATGCCGATGCAGACCCAAGTGTATGGGCGCCTTTGGGTGACTTCTTTGGCAGTGTGCCTGGCTTGCAGACTTATAGGTCACTACCATTGGGCTCTACTTCCGGTGGAGGCTTTTACAGTCATTGGTTTATGCCTTTTTCGCAGCGCGGCCTCATTGCAGTGTCGAATGACGGCGATGAAGATCGCCAGCTCTTCTTCACCATTTGCCACAAGCCTTTGGAGCAGTCAGCTGACGGCCTCCTTCGCTTTCATGCCAAGTGGCACAGGGACATCTTCCTTGAGAAGCCGCAGAAAGAGGGTCGTGACATCGACTGGACTCTTTTGTTACTCGACAACGGGCCTGGACGTTTCTGCGGAGTTCAAATGCATGTCTGGAATCACTGGAGCGATCCTGACCCGCCAGCTAAGGACTGGTGGTATGGCAATGGAGGTAGTAAGTCTATCGACTGGTGGTGGGGTGAAGGGGACGAGAAGTTCTTCGTTGACGGCGAGAAATTCCCCTCGTCTTTTGGAACTGGCTCTGAGGACTACGTTGGATATGCCTGGGCCGCCGAACCGCCTTTCCCAATGTTTGACAGTCCGTATGCATGCCAGCCATTTGTGGAACTCAACGCCAATGGACACACATCTGTGAATCGATTTCACATCTGCGACGATATCCCTTTCCAAACCGACTTTGGTGGGTACATTGAGAAGTACAAAGGCAATACCTGGGGCGAGAAAAATAGCTGTCTCTATGCAGTAGTTGTTTACTGGTACCAGAAACCTGGCGGCAAAGATCCGTATGGTTCTTGGCCACTCAGCGAGCGGTACGTTGGTGAACCCAATGAGCCTGATCAAGCGTGAGCGTCGCACAGCTGTATATACGGTCCGTACATAGGCATATTCCCGAGCTCGCACATAGTGTAAATCATTGTACTATTCATGTGTATCGACGGAGGCTGATAGGAGACGAGATTGGAAAGTGCGTAAATCAGAAGTCAACTCTATCAAACTTTCGAGGTGCGTTCAACCCAGGGATTGCGGGGATGTATGGCATTTCTAACACGTGCGTTTCTTCTACGCATTTCATCCAGGCGAACACCAAGAGCTCTGACTTCCTGACACATGACTCGATGGAAATGTATATATTTTCATCTTATACGGGAATTTGAGAGGAGTTCCAGGTCGACGGGACAGTGGATGAGGCAAGCGAAGTTGACGAGGAGCACCACCTTCAAACCCCCCCAGCAAGGGTGTTGTCCACTAAGGGCCTTTTCCGTCAGTGCATTGGGGTATGTAGTGCGTCCTAATGACGGCAAAGCGCAAGCTAAGCTTTGAGGCGGCCTAGACACCTGGAGATCTCCACACCGGTCCCCATCTCTCCGCATTCTCAACACAACCGGGACCCATTTCCCCGTCAGCCGAGATAGCTTTGCCAGGGCTTGATACGGATTTAGCAAGGTAATGTCTTATGACAGAGTGTGATCTATTGCCATCAAAGCCCTATGTGAAGAAGACGCTGGGTAACTGATCGCAGAGGGACTCGAATCCTTATATGGCTATAGGAAGGCTGCCTCACTATTTTGTGTGTAGAGGAGCGATACGAAAGACAAAGTCGTTTGGAACCATTCGTCTATATCCGGCTGCCCTCTCGGTCGCCTGCGCGCTAGTCTTTTGAGTCACAGTGCAACACAATCAGGCTAAAAAGCCAGGCCACATGTTGGAGTCGCATGGCGTCGGTGTTGCACGCAGATCGTTGCTTATCTCGCCAAGAATCAAGCCGAGATGCTCCCGTCCATAAAATCAACCGAACATGCCGATTACCCGCTTGGCTAGCTAGAACTAAGTGATGGATGTTGGTCGTGGGGTAATGATTAGAACGAATGGAGGCTTGATGCCTATATTTCCGACACCACTCGCCCAAGATCCCATGGAATATAACTTGAAGTATCTTCTAGCAAGGCAATCTTGTTTTGAAAGACGGCCATTCATCCTCACTTTGAGTCAACACCAAGATGTGGCTACAGAAGATTATACGTAATGATGCTATCAAGCTCGATCCTCCAGAAGTTTACAACTGGAGAGTCTTCGCCCTTGCAGCCGCAGCCTGCTTTGGCGGCACCCTTTTCGGAATGGATACTGGAATCATTGGAGGTGTTTTGACCCTACCTGATTTCAAGGAGTAAGTTGACACAGCTCAACTTTTTAATATGTATGCAAGACTGATATAAAACTAGTGAGTTTGGTCTCACGGACAAAAGCAGTACCGCTCGCGCAAATCTCTCCGCAAATCTCGTCACAACCATGCAAGCCGGTGCATTCGCTGGCGCACTACTAGCGAATCCTCTAGCAGATCACCTCGGCCGAAGACCTGGATTACTTATTGTCTCCGTATTTGCTTTCATCGGAGGCTTGCTTCAGGCCTTCTCATACGGCATCTTTTCCTGCTTCTATGTTGGGAGGTTCGTAGAAGGACTAGGTCTTGGAGGCGCCACCATGCTGGCCCCAACTTATGTCTCCGAGAACTCTCCCCGTGGGATCAGAGGTCTGCTCATTGGCTTTTATCAGCTCTTTGAAACTATGGGAGCAATGATAGCCTTTTTCATCGACTACGGATCACTGCTTCACATTAAGGGTCATGCCTCCTGGATCGTACCGCTTGCCATGCAATCACTGCCACCGGTTCTTATCTTCGTTAGCATTCTATTCTGTCCCGAATCACCACGATGGCTTGCATCGAAAGATAACTGGGAAAGCGCGTCAAGTGTTTTAGCCACGGTGCGACACCTGCCAGTTGAACACCCTTACGTTCAACAAGAGCTTCTTGAATTGAGAACGCAACTGGAAGAAGAACGGCGTTCTATCCATGGAACTGGCTTCTGGGCAACTCAGAAAGAGTGTTGGCTGATTCCTGGAAATAGAAAGAGGGCTCTTATGTCAATCGGCTTGGTATGTCTGTCCTCGTCACCTACCCCAATTCATTTCCCTCTTTATCCCCTATCCAGCCCCTATTCACATACATTACTGATAGCCGCGTGTAGATGGTATGCCAACAATGGACTGGTACAAACGGTAAGCTGTTCTTCGATTTGCTTTAAGATGTTAAAACTGCGTTTCAAAGAGCAAAGACAGTATCACTGTTCAAATGCGCATAATCCTTTCGAGACATATTGGTTGTGGATAGTTCCTGCTCTTTCAATGTCCATATAGTTCATACACTGATGTCAGGTGTTGTAGCAATCAACTACTACGCTCCTACGATATTTAATGCTTTGGGGATTAGCGGCAATGCGACATCACTCCTGGCTACCGGCGTCTACGGCATCGTGAAGATGTGTTCATGCGCTATCTTCATAACATTCCTCGCAGATACTCTTGGCCGCCGTTGGTCATTCGTGTGGACAGCCTTCGTCATGTTCTTTTGCATGTTCTATCTAGGGTTTTATGTTCGCTTTGATCCTCCGAAGAAAGACGCCCCTATTCCTGCAGCTGGCTATGTTGCTTTAGTAATGGTATATATATTTGCGGCGGCTTTCCAATTTGGCTGGGGGCCAGTATGCTGGATTTATGTCAGCGAAATTCCGACAAACAGGCTACGTGGCTACAACGTTTCTCTCGCCGCGGCTACGCAATGGCTGTTCAACCTCGTGGTTGCTCGTGTCTCGCCGGTAATGCTTGTCACAGCAGGTGGGCCCACAGGGTACGGCACTTACTTTATATATGGGTCTTTCTGTTTTGCCATGGGCGTGGCAGCTTTCTGGGTTCCGGAAACGAAAGGAGTAAGTATCGGACTAGAGTATTCCTGGGATACAGAACTAACTCTATTCAGATCTCACTGGAACGAATGGATGAGATCTTCGGAGTGGCAGACTTCTCCGGCATCGAAGATATTGGACGAGTGACGAAACATATGGAAGGGACTGATATCGAGGCCAATCAAGTCGAGTACGCCGGAAGGTGAACATACACACATAATTAACTTAGTATGAGCCAAAACGGATACCATGCTCTAAATTCTGATCATTGCACTACCAATTCTGAAAAGTTGAGCATGGCTTCTTGAGCGAAGTTTTCCAAGATAGGCTTGAGGATTACAGAAATTGACTCGAGACTGAATCATATTAAAATTTGTTCATACAATGCGTTTCTGATAAGGGTTATAGATGATAGCCTACAAGTAAGCCTGTGAATCATTTTACCACATTTTACCACAGTAGGTATGTAAGCTATTGGTTCTATTTGTTGCCTTTCTTCCCGCCTTGCTTTCATCAGGAACTTCCCAGTCAGCAATCGCTAACACTTGCCAACAGAGACGAATATTGATCATAATTCCTTTCCAATAACATACCCCAGCTTGAAATTACCAATGTGTTTCGCAAGTGACTACCCCGCATATATGTAACTCACTATGGTGACGACTCTGTCCCAAACAGAAGGGTCGCACAAGTCTACCCTTCGCTTACATAAGGCCGCTCAGGGGCTCACATTTGCCTATTTACAAAACAAATGCTTGCAAATACCTCATTTCCTTCGAACAAAACCCTAAAATTTGTACCGATCTTTCCTGAACCCTTACACAATCATACATCATCCTGACCGGCCCCGAGTCTCGTCAACACGTCTACCTCTTTGCCTTCACGAACATCCCAATATAGTCATCTATCTAATCATCAAATGTGAACCTCAAACCCTCCTGGTGGCCTTGGGCTATCGGCACCTCAAGCGCCACTCTTCACAGATGAGATATATACGCCCCCACCTATAGCTGGTCCTTTACGACCGGGGAAGCGTATGTTCTGGACCTTGCAGAGTTCCCTGGGCTCTTCCAGGTAGTCACGGCGTCAGGAGAGTTTGTTACGGTGCATGATTTTGTGTCGGCAGTGCACCCTTGGTTAATGGGACTTCGGCTTCGGCATCACATTCTGCGGGCCAAGAACGTCGGCGATGAGGACTATACTCAGGCCGCCAATGCCAGGCTCCTAGTTGCGGCAGATCGGCCCGAGCTTGTGAGAGTTGAGGATGAATAGGAATGGCTCGGGACGCTGCGGTGGTGCTTTGAGGAAGATCGTCGCCGGCAGCAGGCATCTAAGGGTTGATGTGGAGATTGCGGCCTAGTAGGCTTTCACTGGTAGCAACATCTCAAATTCTCTATTTGAATTACTTCATGACAGTCTCTCATGAAAATGTCCGCGCTTGTCAAGTCGAATCACGACCTTCCTTTCTGTCTAGCTTTGAGTTTCCTAGACATCTCTAGGCAGTCTCTCACACTGAAATTGGGTGCTTTACAAGATTAACGATGATATCGGCTGGCTTCATACCGCTAGACATATGCTCAGGCGTCTTATACGCCATCGTCATGCTCGCCACGGCCGATGACAGCGCTAAGCAGAAACGGTCTGCCCAGGGATTCTCCGACTTTTGGTCTGTGCCGGCTATCGCACTCCACTGGCCCATGGTGACCTACACGGACCATCACGGAAACTAGGTTGAGACGGCACCGACAACTCCTGAGTTGGGGGAGCAGGGTCTTGCCCCTGCCAGCAGTCAGGTGAC